GCTCCGCCGTGCCCTGTGGCGCCCGTTTGCGCCACGCAGCTGCCCCCAACCCTCTTTCAGCCCCCCATGCGTGTCCGCATCCCACCCAAAGCAGGCCCTTCTCGGCCCCAAAACGCACACCGAGCCCCCACTCTCCCGCCTCCCCCGCCGTGCAATTCTAACATTTGAATTTGGTTTCGAATCCTCGCCGCCCCGCGCGCAGGCACAACGCGCGGCAGTGCCTGCTGACGCGCGGCCTGCTGCCCATGCTGGCCACGCCGCAGCCCCACGGGGACGCCGTGCTCGAGGAGGCGATCCTGGTGGCCGCCAGGTGGGTTTGTTGTTGATTATTTGTAATATATGTTGATTATGTGATATTATATGATGCGAGATGACATCACTGCTGGCGGGGCAAGCGGGGGCCACGGCTGGAGGGAATCTTCTCGCGCCCACGGCCGGCACCCTAAACCCGAAACCCTCATCTGCACAACAAAACCCCAAACTTGAGCAAGCCAACTTGCTCAAGTGTATGCACATCTGTCATTCGGATTGAAACCCTCGATTGGGTAAACCCCCAATCACCGTCGACCCCAGGCTGGGCATCCTGAAGCCCCACAACCACGTGGTGGCGGTGCAGCGCGTCCACGAGGACTTCTGCGTCAAGGTGCGTGATCTGGGGCCGTGATCTTGCGTCGTGATCTGGGGCCGGGGTATGGGGCCATGATCTGTGCGGCGGACCAGGCTCGTGTCGAGGGTGCTGCACCACGGCGCGAGGCCGAGCGCGAGGGCGTCGGGCGAGCCTACGCCGCGCCGCCCCACCGCAGGCGTCCAAATCGTGCTCAGTGTCGTCTTGCGGTGGTTGCGTCGCCGTCGGGAGCCCCTCCCTCCCATTACAAGTGCCGGGCCATTGAAACCCTGTCCCCCACCCACCCATAACCCTCCCAGCCCTCCCCCCCAAAAAAAACACGCACACTCACTACTTACCCGCTCCCTGCTGTCACCAATGGCGACCCCCCAACACACACACACACATACACACACACACACATACACACACACACACACCGTCAATCGCCGCGCCCCCCAGATCGTGTCTGTGGACGCCCTCGGCGCCGGCATCAAGAGGACCACCCTCGTCGGTGAGGGGTGGGGCGCGGCCCATGACTGAAAGCCCGACCCCAGCCACCCTGCGCTGCCATCGCCCCCCCCCCCTCTCTCGCATGACGCGATGTTTGAGTTGTGTTGTGTGTGGCTGTGTGGGTATCAAATATCCCGCTTCCTGACACACACACACACACACACACACACACACACACCGCCAACCAACCGCAGAGCTGCAGCAGGCCACCAGCACCGTCCCCGTCGTCACAAGCGAGTGATTGGGGCCGCTCGCTGACGTCACCATGACGTCACACCGGCCTCGGCTCGACGCGGTCGCGAGGGACCGCGCCGCGTCGCGGGCGCGGCGGCGGCGGGCCGCGCGCCACTCTTGCAAAGCGTGCGGCGGGCGGGGCCTGCGGGCCCGAATCTGTTGGACTCATTATGTCAGCAGCGAAGAGCCTTACACATGTCTGAGCGTGGCAGCACCCCCAGGCACGCCTTGATTCGCAGCCACCAACATAGAGGCACGGCCGGGTTCTCTCGCGCCAAGCTCAGCACAGGATCTAATTTGGAGCGCCTGGGGCGCCTCGCGGGCGCCGGGGACTGGGGAATGCGTTTCGAAGCTTACCCGGCATAACATGGTAGAGAGTGCAATGCAAATGCAACCGAACTGACCGTGTAACCACGAGTCCTTGCTTTACAGGGTTGCTGCATTGGGTTGGCGCGCCAAGGCAACACTTTTCTTGTCTTTTTCATCAGTGCTACCTGCCTGCATCGTGGGTTCCAACAGGGGTGCTGGCAGCCTTGTGCGCACGCAGGTGGTTGCTGCGTGGGGTGTACAGTGGGTTGTGGTGTGGGGTGTGGCAGCGGCGCCCAGCGTCTCTGGCGCGCTGCTGCAGGGGAGGTGTATGCGCCTGCGCGGCACGCATCCGTGTGGGGCCGGATGGCCGCGTTCCACATCACCCTGAAGCATAGATTGGAGCAAGACCCCCTGGCACATGATCTGCCAGTGGGGTTTTACCAGTGAGGTGTTCATGGGCACACCCTTTCGGCCACACCAGGACCTGCCAGGGCCTTTTGGCCAAATGGCGTCACCAGGTCAAATCAGAAGCGGGCTGTCTCGCACGTCAAGTCCGAATTGTCTTTCTTGCAGCAGTGCGCCTACGGCCATGTGTTGATGTGTGAGCATGACATGAAATTGTACCTCAATGAAAAGTTCAGTACCCTCATCAGTCTGATTCCACGTGCGCCATTCATGTGAGGCGCGCAGTAAGCGGTAGCACCCTCTGACCACACCTGGTCACCCGCCCATCAAGCGCGAACGTGTTGTGCCTCGCAACAGCTTCACTCCATACCTTGCTATCTGTGGTTCTGAACGCCCCATGTAATTCGGTGCTCTGAAGGGTTGAGTTACTGTGAAATTGGCTTTCGCGCGCGCTTGCCTGCATCGCGCCCGCGCACCTGATTAGGACTGCTGTTGCCATTCGCAGAATTTGATGCATTTCGTGGCTGTCGGTAATGCGTTCGCCGGCGCAGTCGCGGTCGCACACAGTGCCGCTGTCGCTGCGTCCGTGACCGGCGACACTTCCTCGCTCAGCGACGGCGTGCGCGAAAACGATGCCTCGCATCAGGACCAGTGGACTTCCGTCCCAGATTCCGTTCCTGCCATCGACGGCACGGGCAGCTGGCAGCTTCAAAGGCGCAAGGACTTGGCGCCCAGTCGCGAGCCGCAGTTGAAACCAAAAGAGGAGGGGCCCGGCAGGGCGGCGCCGGCCGCCCGCGGGGCCGCGCTGCCAGAGCGCCCAGAGCCCTACCGAATCGGCCTCTCTCGTGAGGATGCGCCTGTGTACGTCACGTGAGCGCAGGCCAGGCGGTCATGGCGGCACAGGGCCGCTGTGATGCGGCAAAGCATCGGGGAAAGGGGGCAGGAGCGAGTCCGGGGCGCAGCCGCAGACGCGCAGGCCTGCAATCAGTGCTGGTGCTGTTGTCGGCGCTTGCAGTTGCTTTGAACCCTTGCGTTTTACCCCCTTGCCATACTAGTGCTGATTCCCATCGGCGTCAGCGTGGCAGCGGCCTGCGCTCAGCCTCGCCTCTCGATTCCCCCAGTTCTACGCCATGCAATAAAGAATAACTACATACCCAGCGCGGCGCGGACAACCACGCACCCGTACAGGTACCCCTATGTCACCCGGCACTACCGCATCGGCGGCACTTACGGGCGCTGCCTCCTCTCGCTGTTTGAGCTCCACACGGAGACCCTGAACGCGTGGACCATGATCTGGGGCTGCTGCCTCTCCGGCTTCCTCCTCTGGCGCGCCCTGGCCGCGCTGTTTGAGGCGGACGCCGGCGCAGGCAGCGGCGATGGCGGCGGCGGCGGCGGCGGGTTCTGGCGGGGCGTGCCTGACGAGATGCCCTTCTACCTGCTCACGGGGTCGACGCTGCTGCACGCGCCGTGGAGCATAGGGTTCCACTTGTTCCGCGGGATGGTGCGCCCCTCGACGTTTTGTACAGTTGGCTGGACGCTTTCTCTCGTGTTCACTTCATATCACACGCGGCATTTGCCTGCGCACGCATGTTTGCATCCATTTGAACAGCGCATTGCAGCAACCACATTTGCCCAGACACACGCAAACACACACATGTGTGCACACACACTCTCACGCACGCATGCATGCACGCACGCATACATATTGCCACTCATATCCCGCACACAACTCTTCCATATGCTCACTGCAGCGACCCTCTGTCTACAACCTGTGGCGCCGCCTGGACCAAATCTTCATTTTCCAGGTCCGACAACGCTTGAGGGCAGCCGCACGCGCGACGGCCCGCGCCGCTCCGCCGCGCGAGCGACGCCGCAGCCGATGCGTCCCACGTTGAGTGCGCACGACGCGAGCGTCGGCGTCCAGTGCTCGTACCTTGTGGCGGCCGCGTCGCCATGGCAGCAGAGCGTTCAGCAATAGCATTCATTCATTTCCCGTTTCCCCTACGACAGGTCTCCCAACTCGTGACACTTGCCACTGCCTGGTTTGTCTACGAGTCGTGGTGGCCCGTCGCCCTCAACTTGGCCGCCGCCGTCGCCACCGCGGCGCTCGCCACCAAGAGCACCTGGGCGCTGAAGCCGGGGCAGCGCAGGCCCCCCGGCCAGATGGTCGCACTCATTTCATGCATCGTCCTTTGCTACATGTGGCCCCTAGCCTTCCAAGCCTCCCGCGATCTGTCCGCCCGGCTTCCGCCCCAAGACCCCGCCGCCCCGCGGCCGCCGCTCTCCGCCGCCGGCTGCGCGGCGGGGGCCGCACTGGCGCTCGGCGCGGGCGCCGCGGTGTATGCCGCTGGGCTACCCGAGAGGGCCTTCCCGGGCGTATTTGACGTGATCGGCTCCAGCCACCAGCTGATGCACGTCACCCTGCTGGCGGCGCACGCGTTTGAGTACGCGTTTGTGCTCGAGATGTGGGCGCGGCGGCGGGCGGAGCGCCTCGGGGCGTGACAGGCAGGACACCCCTCCCTCATCTGTTGCGCGGGCGGCTAGTGGGATGAATAGAAGCGTTCCCTTCAACTAGAAATAGGCACCCCAGAGACCAAGGGAGCTGGCGCGTGAGTCCCACCGCACCAGCTAGCGGCGCCGACATTGCGGCAACAGAGTGAGAATGAGGGCGCAGCGGCGCATTTCTGAGGCCGCTCCCACCTGGCCAGAGCCGGGTCGGAGCTTCGCCACTTTGTACCAAGGGTCCGCAAGGCGCGCCCGTGCGCGCCACATGGTCGCTGCGCGCGTGTGCGTGCATTGATAGGACAGGCAGCGAAGCCTCTCTGCAGAGCCCGCCGCGTAGCTGGACTTGACACCCGTCGAACACTCAACTTGGGCCAATGGAGCTCGCGGATTGCAGCATACTTATTCTATTGGCCGGCCTGATTCGATCGGCTTGCTGGACACCGCCGTTACGCGTACTCCCTCGCTGCCCGTGCGGGAGGGGGGCCGGCGTGGCGCCTGTCGGCGAGTTTTCCTGGGCGTGAAGGGATGGAGGAGCGCTTGCTTGAGTCGCCGCCGCACCCTTGTTTTTTGCCCTGGGGGTTCGCACCCATTCGTCAGCCCCCTACATCACTCTACCCCTTTCGTCTCAACCAGCCAGCACCACTGTATGATCCCCCTACAAGAGAAACGGGTGCACCAGGCCGTGGCCCATGCCGCACACCACTTGCTGCACATCAGCGCGCACATACCCGGCGGAGGTGCAAACGGCACCGACAAATACCAGGATGTGATCCCAATTCCTCCTGCACACAGGCACCGTGTGCTCAAGAATTCGACTTTGCTGCAGTGACCAAAGTTAACACCAGTAACCTTTGTTTCCCCTTGCTTTTCATTCGTCGCAACCCCCCCCCTGCAAGGCGCCAAGCTCAATGGCAGTCCTCTTGCTCCTTGGGTCCCTGTGCCGCCCAGATCAGCGGTGTTACTTGAGGGACCCCCAGCCTGCCCTGAAGATGCCCCAGCCTGCTGCCCCAGACCCGATGTATGTATGCGCCAGAGATGGTCACAGAAGGCTGTGCTTTGCCTCCATGGTGCATGGAACGCTCGTAGAAAGGATTGACGAAGTCTGTACAAGCAGCGCGGACGACGCGCAAGCACCCCTCAGGGCCCCCTCATAGCTCCTCGTGCCGCCCCCCAGCCTCGGCGGCGGCCGCGGCCGCCGCCGCCGCCTCCTGCACGCCGAACGCGCCCCCCTGGACGCCGCCGCGGGCCAGGTACTCCATCGCGAGCGCCGCGTGCAGCGCGGCCCCCTTGTGCAGCTCTCCCTCGTCAAGCACGAAGTTGCGCGAGTGCAGGTTGTGGACGGACCCGAGGGTCTCGTTGCGGATCCCGAGGAAGAGGAACGTGGAGGGCACGGCGCGCGCAAAAAAGGCGAAGTCCTCGGCGGGCATAATGGGTTCGGTCTCGAGCACCTGGCGGGGTGGGAAAGGGCGGGCAGCAGGGGAGCGATGGTGTTGGGGCCGCTGATTGGCCGTTGAGGGGCTGGGGTCAGGTCTCAGGGCTGGAAGCTCGGTTTGTTGCGCAGCCCAGCGCAGGGCGTGAGAGTGGCCTGTGTTCACTCGCTGTGTGTTGGAACGTGCGATCGCATTCACTGCTTCGAGCGCTGCGAATAGCCTCGGCAGGGCCAGACGCCGCGGGCGCGCGGCCGACCCTTATGGCAATTCTAGGGCGGCCGCACCTTGCTGGCCCCCAGCAGCCGCGTTGCGACATCCCATGCGAAGTCGGCCGCCCCGTCATCGTTGACTAAGGGGGGGTAGTAAGGCTGAATGTCCAGGCGCCAGTCCACGGTGCCGTTGCAGCCGAAGCCGGCGGCGTGGCTCGCGGCCATGGCTTCCACCCGGCCTGCGATCACAAGGGTGGAAGGGGCAGCGACGGGCTTGATAAGCAAGAAAGCTGCCCGTCGGGTGAAGGGGTCGCCCTGGCCGGGCGTGCTTGTGGTGCGGCCTGCAGCCAGGATTTGACTTGAGACTGGACCTTTGCGCAATCAGTGGCAAGCCAGGAGGAGTGTGGGTGTGGATATTCAATGTGGTGAATCTCAAGAAGTTGCGGGCGTCGCACACAAGCCGCTGGCCCACCCTTGAGGTACATCATGTGCTCGTGAGTCAGAGCGCGCATGGTGCCGCCGAGCATGACGGAGTCTGGGATGACGTTGTACGCGTCACCAGCCTGGGGTGTGCAGTGACGCGGTGACGCGGGGGCGTGGTGACGAGGAGTCGGGTATAGAGGAGAGCGCGCAAATCAACCTCTACAAGGTGATGACGTACACACACACACACACACACACACACACACACACACACACACACACACAAACACCCACATGCACGCACATGCACGCACGCACACGCACACGCACACCTCACACGCCGAAGCGCAAGTGTGCTTATACAACAAAACATGGAGCGCCACAGACACAGAGAAACAAACACTCATTCAAAAATATGTGCGCACATATGCACGCACGCACGCACACACACACACGCACTCACCTGCAGCATGGCCACGCTCAGCACCGCAGACCCCAGGGGGCTCGTCTCCCTCGACACCAGCGTCTGCAGCGCCCCGATCAGCGACGCCGCCGCGACCACCGGGTCCACGTTCAGGTGTGGCAGCGCCGCGTGGCCGCCGCGGCCGCGGACAGTGATCTCAAAAGACAGAGCCCCCGCCATGATGGTGCCGCGCCGCAGCGCGACGGTGCCCGAGGGGACGCTGGGCATGACGTGCATGCCGAATGCGGCCGAGGCCCCCTCGATGGCGCCCTCCTGGATCATGACGTCACCGCCTGTCATAATGATGTCATGGGGGGGGGTCGTCGCATGTTTTGGCACTTCGCCCCGTGAATGCAGAGGGGTGGGTCGGCGCAGCGGCGGGGGTGCTCCCACCAGCCGCATGCGTGGTGATGGACGAAGGCTCGCTGGCTGCAGGTGTGGGCCCTGCCCGAAGACGGGACACGTCCTCAAAACACCCCGCTGCTGCGGCGAACAGGCCGCGCTGGCTGACAGGGGCGTGAAGGCCACAGAATCATCGGCAAGCCGCTTTTGAGTGGTGCCACATGCTGTATAAATGGACGAGCAATGCGGCTGCACGCCGCCTCGCTCTGCAGCCCCGGCCACGCCCATGCAAATCACGAGACCAAGGACTGACTTTTGACTTCATCATGCAGCCGCCGCGCCCGCGTGCGGGCTGCTCACCTGCGCCTCCCTCCTCTGCTGGCTGGAAGACCAGCAGCACTGTGCCCTGCAGCTGGGCCTCGCGCGCCTTGAGCAGTTTGGCGGCGCCCAGGAG